TTAAGACAACTAGATCTGATTTGAGAAAACCTTTTTTTCCCTAGAAATTAATTAGGAAGTGATACATACATTTCGTATATTTCCAAATCAATCCCTCTTAAAGAAATTGAAGAACCACTTTCTTGAAGATCCACCTTCCATCCGCATGATGCATTTAACGAAATAATACATATGTTTTTTTAGTTCGTATGCGGGGTTTTTTCTGTTTATAATGGGGTAAATTTTACTAAATGGAGTCTTTGAAATAGTCTGAAATGAAGAAGTGTTAAGTAATGAGAAGGCTAAGCTTTAGCTAATGTAAAAGAATGGGGGAACGTAGTCAGAATTTTGGATTTCAGTAAGGAAATCTCCCTGTCAGTCGTATATGGTCGAGGGTGCTTCTTAGGCCATAGCTATGAACTGCTTGATAGCCTGCTCTGAATCCACCTCCATAAACTGGGGAACTGTCTGATTCAATCTGGTGTTTGAAGAACTCCCCAAACTTCCTATCGAATGGAGACCTTTTTGCCATCTTTGATGTTCTCCCCGCAGAAGATGATGAAGTTGATGCAACATTGCTGTCTGAAGTGGCTGAGAGCTCGGACACCAACCACATGTATGCTAGCACTTGACAGATACCCTCCTCAACATCCTGACTGAGAGTCCGGAAACCTTTTAAAAACAAGCAGCTTTTTATGTCAGTGTCTCCATAAACACAAAACCATGATGATAAAAAGGAAAAAAAACATAATCAAAACCAAATATTTTCAGTTGTGTTCACGTCTGGTGATGGAATTTTAACTACCTTGTAGTCGCATCCATGCATGCATCATCTCGTGCGCTAGGATTGACCCAGTAAGTAACCTGCAAAGCTCAAAATCTTCAGTTTTGCATCAATATATTTAGTCAACTGTTATTCAGTACAGTCAAAAGACTCTCCACTACTTTGGTCCAACTGCCTAAGCTTGTAGAGTTGATGACCCATTACCTTGGAAGGCCATACAAAATGAGAATTGCAGTCACTTCACATCGACGTGTCAGTTTGTATGGTTCTGTTATCATGTCCATGGCTCGATTCCCAGTCCCAAATCTCGGTCGCCTTCGAATCTGATATTTTCATGTCCAGTAATGTGTAAATCTCTTATCAACAGAATAACAAACTTATAAAAACTCTATCTGTCCAATACTAAAGCACAAGAGAGAAACATTCTTACAGTGCTGACAGTCTGCTCCTCAGGAAGGCAGAGTCCTCGTGTTTCTGGCATGTGATGATGGCCCTGGACAACAAAAAGATCAAATCCATTACAATCACAGAATGCAAAAGAAAAGTTTACAAATTATATTTGTTCCTGATGTCATGACTAAGCCATTTTTTCTCTTACTTGTTTTTCCCCTTCCCTGGCCTCATTTAATGCTTGCCTTTCATCCAGGAGTAATGGAACATCCTGCTCTATTTTCATATTTAAACCTTCATAAAATGCTTGTATCTCATCATAGAGGGGTTGACATTCACTAGTATCCATAACTGCAGAGTCCAAACATTCTAGGCAGAGCTTCCGCCCATCATTAAGGCCAATATATCCGGTGTTGTGAGGCTGCATTTGATGAGTCAATGTGTCATGTTATCATCCATTTTTTTCCCCTTGTTTTCAGAAACAGTTGCGTCGATTTGTATTCGGGAGCTTAATAATTCACTTAATTCAGCAAAACTAACCTCCATTCGCTCACAGCTGCAGCAGCGTGGAGTACCATCATGTTCATGAGAAGGGCAATACTTTTGAATCCAGAAAGGATGTGCCCTATATTCAATAAGACCAGCAGGGTTTGTTGGAATCTGTCAAAATTATACATCCCCAAAAGAAAACACAACTGATGATGAGAGACATGTCTAAAGGAAGAATAGTAGATTTTACATTTGTTTCAACAGATGCAAAACATGTTATAACACTTTAATACAGCATGCAAGTAGTCAATGTATGAGGTTTCACATGCATACAATCTCCATGTTGTCATGGAAGAATATCTAAAGGATCGGCTTCCATATCCCCATATAGAGCTCTCTTAGGTTAAATCCGAAATGTCAATGACTTTGATATTTATACATTATATTAAACACAAACAGTGAAAATATAGAATCAATAGACTGCATTCCAGGTACAGAAAAGACACTTACAAAGTGCTTGCATACATCACATTTTGGATGGTGG